GAATAACAGCACTTTAAGGAAATATATAGTGCAATATTTCAATAGACAAATGTTTTTTCAACAGCTTAATTGAATTTCATTGAACAAAGATCCAATATGCCAATCCCATAATGGCAATGAACACCATAAACAGAGATACATGATTTCTGATTTTCTAGAAATTACCATTTAAAAAATTTTATTTTATTATAGAAGGATATCAATTCTTAATATCAGTACGGACAGAAATTATGAGATTCTTGTTCATATTAACAATGCATTTATGCAATGATAAAATTGGTAAATTATATAAGGGTCTTTAGAATGTAAAACAGAAAACTAATGGCCAAAGCGTATATGCCACTTATATTTACTAACCCTGAAACTAGTGTACACCTTGTCAGCCTGCTTTCAACGTGTTTTGAGTTGTTTGAACACTATTGAAACCACACACTGTACCCCACAAATATGTGCTAATAAATGTCAAAAAAAAAAAACACACACAAAAAAAGATTTAAAAGTTAAAAAAAAGCTATATGGTTTTCTAAAAGTTTGACATACTAGAAACGGAAAAGGGGAGGAGAAGGGGGAGAGGGAGGGGGGCTCATGAGAAATTGGTCAATGGACACAAAGAATGATTACATATTGTAATGATGAATAAGCTAACTATACTGATCTAACCACCACACATTCTACTCAGTTATTGAAAGTCAACATTGTACCCGACATGTATCTACAATAAAAAATTAAAAATAAATTTAAAAAAGCCAAAACCCTAAAATTTGGGGGCTGCTGGCCTGTTACCTCAGTTGGTTAGAGTGTGGTGCTGATAACACTAAGGTCCAGGGTTCAATCCCTGTACTGGCCAGCTGCCTAAAAAATTTAAAAAATAGGAAAAAAAAATTTAAATAAGACAAAACTAAAATTTTGGAATGATCAAGATTAAAAAGACTTTACTTTGTCTCCTTTTTCTTTACTATGCTGGTTTTCCACCAGAAATCAGGTCACCTTGTGATGTTTAAAAGGGCATACATATAATAAATGAAGTAAAATGAAAAATTAATGTGTATTTAAAGTGGAGTTCATGCAAGCCAATTTTGAACTTTTAATAAAAGAAAATTTTAAGCTTTTAATAAAATACTATTTTCAATTAAAAAAAAACCTATATGGAAATAATAAAATCACACTTCTTACATAAGCTCTTAAGTATTATGATTAAACAAAAAAATTAAAGGTTTAGATTTATTATAGAATAAAATTTGAATCATAGTGTATATATACATCCTTAGTGTATGGCAAACTGCTGGTTTTCCACCAAAATGCATTCTCTTTTTCTAGAGAGTACCGCAGTCTTAGCTGGGTGCATTTGTCTGTCTCTTTGCCATTAGTTGTGGCCTCGTAACTACATTCTTGATGCAAGAATGTGAGCAGAAGTTATGTGTGGAAATTCCATACGACTTGCTTAAAAGGAAAAAGTTTACCTTCAACTTCCGTTCTTTCCTCTTTCAGGGGACTGGAATGCAGACAGGAGCCAGGCCAGCTGTCACAGTGCCCTAGGGATGAAGGAGTAACAAGATGGAAGGAATCCATGGAACTACCCACTTATCTTTAGAGAGAGAGTGACATATGTGATTCCAGAGCTACAAAAGTTTGGAAGGTTTCGTTACTTTAGTTTAGCCTATATCAAAATATGTGTGTGTGTATCTTTATATAATAACTATGATTATTTCCTCTTCTTATTATGTCTGCCTATATTTTAACTCTGTAATTTAACTCCTATATTACTACTCATCTCCTGCGCAAGATTAAAGCACTGTCCCTCAGCATGATCTCAATGTCAGTGGGTTCTATGGAAACCTCTTGTTTGACACTGTGTCTAATTCTCTCTACCCTTCCCCAAGCCTCCTCGAATTTCAACATTTAATTTAGCTTCTACAAGTGCTTTTTGGAATAGGGGAATGTATATAAATCATTAAAGTTATCCAATTCATTGATAGCTAAGACATAGCAGAGGGTTTCAAAACTCTATAGTTTCTTTTTTTCCCCCTCCCTAGAGAATGAAAGTATATTTGTGATACCTGCTGTCTATAAGATGTACTACCTTATACAGCTCACCTGACTTCTGAGTGCATATATTAGCATGTAAAAATCTTACTCCAGATCCTATGCTAGGCCTCCAATTTTTACTTGCCTACTCCTTTTAACCTGCTATTGGACCATAGGATTTTATTTTAAAATCCTATTTTGTTCAATTTCATAATGCCCAGCACAGTAACTGGAAATGGCCTCAATAATATATTTATGGAATTATAAATTGATAGGTTTTGAACATAACCAGTTCCATTTTAGGCAAGGCCAAGCACAAAATGGCCATCAGCCCCACCCCGTTTTCCTTATGAGAAGGCTCGTGACTTCTGCAAAATAGAGAACTTTTGGCTTTTGCATAGGTGCAATTTTCCACCCCAGTTGCATCAGCCAGGTGGAGCTTCCGCACTAGCGTAATGCTCCTCCTCAAATGCATTGGCCAACCCTGGGGCCCTACAGCCTATATAAGCTCTCCCACTCTGGTGCCTGGTGCTGCTCTCCACTTTGAGGGCAGCCCTGGCTGCTGCTCTCCATTTTGAGTGCAGCCCAGCAGATTACTTTTTCTTTAATAAAGCTTGATCAGTAGCCAGCGTTTCAGCTCATTTTCTTTAATTTGGTGCCAAAACCTGGGAAGGGTCTTGGCTGGGACCCTCAGATGATCCCCTCTCTTGGGTTGATTGGCCCCTGGCTGCCCTTCCTGTACCTTCCAAACCAGGTACCTCCATGACTCTCTCTTCTTACTGCTTCAAGACCAACACATCCAACATCGGTCTCAATTCAGGGTGAGTCAGTGGGTCCATCCTACTTCTACAGGTTCCCCTACTACTTTCTA